ATCGAGCCACTGGCTGTCGATTTAGTGGGTCTACAGAAGACCCGCCAAATGGACAGCAGATCGCTCTCCAGTCTACCCCTGTACTCAACAGAAGTGTAAGATAAGTTGACAGGAGAGTTTCTCCTGTCGACCCACCGCGGTAACTCTACCTAAGGTACGTCGACTCACATAGCTGGAGTTGAGTAGTGTTGGTCGACGTACCGCAGTAGTGTAGACATAGCTTTAGGGGGGAGTGGATAGTACAGATGATAGGCTAAGAGCTGGCAAATGTACAAAACAAACAAACTGGAGGGGCTGCAGGGGATTCCCTTCTAATCTTTAAAAAGAAGAACAGGAGTACTTGTGGCACCTTAGAGACTAACAAATTTCTAATTTTTGAGGGCTTATTTACACTACCCACCAGATCTGCGGGCAGCGATTGATCCAGTGGGGGTCGATTTATTGTGTCTAGCATAGATGCGATTAATTGACTGCTGAGCGCTCTGCCATCGACTCCAGTACTCCACCAGAATGAGAAGTGCAAGCGGAGTCGACGGGAGAGGGTCAGCTGTCAACTTACTGCAGTGAAGACACTGCAGTAAGTAGATCTAAGTAAGTAGACTTCAGCTGTGCTATTTATGTAGCTGAAGTTGCGTATCTTAGATCAACCCCGCATGGTAGTGTAGACAAGCCCTCAGTTACTGAAGTCTCAGGTGTTACTTGTTGCAGTAGACAGGTTTCAGAATAGCAGCCGTGTTAGTCTGTATCTGCAAAAGATCTAAAAGTCTCAATATTACAACAACAAAAACTTCAAAAACACACTGCAACGAGAGACTGCTGAATTGGAATTAATTTGCAAATTGGACACCATTAGATTAGGCTTGAACAAAGACTGGGAGTGGATGTGCCATTACACCTAGTGAGGAGGGCTTTAAACTAGGTTCGACGGGGACAGGTGAGCAAAGCCCACAGGTAAGTGGGGAACATGGAGACCGGGGAGATGGGTCGGAAACAAGAGGGAGTGTGGGCTATATTGGCAGAGAGAAAGGAGAGTCAGGACAAAACTGGGAGGAAAGATCAAACCCGTATCTTAGATGCCTATATACAAATGCGAGAAGTATGGGGAATAAGCAGGAAGAACTGGAAGTGCTAATAAATAAATACAACTATGACATTGTTGGCATCACTGAAACTTGGTGGGATAATACACAT